CCCTCCCCCACCCGCCGGCCGGCCGGCCCCGCTCGCGCGTCTTCCCAGTCACCCTCTGTCTTCTGCGCTGCACTTCCAAGTCTTCAGCAAAGGAGCGCGGGCTCCACCGCGTCCCCACCCCGCCTTCCCCGCGCCCTCTGCGGACCGACCCTTTCCTTCCGCACTCTCCAGACTGATCCGGTGCTAGCGCTCTTTCTATGATCTTCCCAAGGGACTTTCCCTCCAGGCCTGAAAATCCCCAAATCTTAGCAGAAAACGGACCGAGAGCAGGGACAAGCACTGGGAAGGGAGGAAAATCCTTTGAAGACGCCCCCACCCCATTCTCGGAGTGCCGAAAGGAGTCCAGTGTTACTTGCTCCCTCGTGGAGCCTGAGTCAGCAGGTTTGCCGGCAGCCCCCTTCTTCCTCTGCAGTCCCCAAGCAGCCCGCCCAGCCTCAAGTCCCATTATGGGAGGGATGCCAGCTACCTGACCAGGAAGGGAGCAGCTGTGTCCTACGACAGCAAGCTGGGGGGCTGTTCCCTGGGTGCCAGCAGACACTTCAGGGCACCTGACCCTTAGATGATGAAAATGTTGGCTGGTACCCATGCTCTCTCCTGGAGGCAAAATCCAGCTCAGATTGGAAAGGTCCTGCACCTGGACCCTAGATTTCCCTGAATGTTTTCGGAAATTGCACTTACTGAGGTGATTAATCACGTTTTGTTTCTATATGAGAATGAATCTAAGTGAGGATTAGTAGGATGAGCCTGAGCCTAAACCTATTAATTATAATGCCAACTTCAGGGGCTTTTTCTTTCTTCAATTCATTATGATTCAATTCCTCTGTGAGGCTGCCCATTTCCACCCCCTGGGAAATAAAGGATATGTGGCCTGCTCTTGAAGAGGAGTCTCTTGTCAGTTGCACTACATATCCCTCACTCCAGTCCTAGGCAATAATTTTACACCTGAATGCCTTTGCTCAGACTGGTCCCTCTGCTTGGAATGCTCCTTTCTCCACATGGCTGAAGACAAACTCCTCATTTCAGGCTGAAATCGCATCTCATCCTCCACTAGCAAAGCCTTCTGTGACTCTCCCAGCAGAGCAAAGGGTCCTTTTCTTGTGTTCCCACTGGACTTGGCTCATTCCTCAGTGCTGGCTCTGATAAGTCGTTTGCCATCCATTCATTCTCCACAGTACTTTTTGAAGTGTGTAAGGTGGTACCGATGGTTACATTCTGTCCCCACCCTAGACCGAGACTTCCTCCAGGTGGCACCCATGCTCAGTCACCTCTGGATCAATGGTACCTAGCACATAATGGGTACCCAGTTAATGATGGTTGAGTTGAATTAGGCCATTAGAGAATACTTTGTTCTTTTGACAAATATGTGCTACCAGATGCTAGGCACTGTGCTGGGCCCTGGGGATACACCAATGACATGGTCACTGTACAATAATGATTTAAGATAACATGTTGACACTACAGTTCTTAAGACTGATAAAAAATTAGAGGAAGGAACCTGAGAAAGATAAACCAACAGACTTGTTGAGAATGGGGTCCAGTTTTACTTGCTCCCTCCTTCACCAACCCAGCCCTGGCCCAGGTTCACTGAGGCTGGCATTTGGACTTTGCTCAGCTTCTGGAGGAGCGTAATCATTCTCCACGTTGGTGCAAGGCTTGAGGTCCTCATTGCCCAAACTGAAGTTCTTTACATACCCTAGTTTGAACCTGACTCCACTACTTACAAGTGATTTGACCTTGGTAGCTCTGCCAAGTTATTTGCTGTGTGACATTGGACAAACTTCTCTCAGTTCCCTTGTCTATAAAACAGAGATGTTAATTTCTCTCTCTGAACTAAGGTGTTATGAGTATGGAATGAGATAAGGCCTGTGAAGTATTTAGCACAGGGCCTGAAGACAGTAAGTGCTATTGTTACTATTATCTGTTCACTCACATGGGTTCTAAAGCAATGACACCGCAATGGTGCAGTGGACTTGGGAGTCCCAAGGTCAGATTTTAGTCCCAGCTCTGCCATTCATTTGCTGTGTAACTTTGGACAAACTCCTTAGCTTTTTGAGCCTCTCTTTCCTCATTTGTACAGTGGCAATTTTAAGACTTTCCCCAAGGAGTGGTCATGAGGTCAAATGGGTCATATGGGAGTCCCTAGGGCAATGCACAACACACAGTAGGGGTTCAGTGATGAAAGCTCTTTGGACATGTGGGCTGTGGGGCTCTGGGAGGCTCTGCCTTCACGGAGTTGCAGAGGGATGAGCAAGGTCCTTGATAACCATGACTCCACAGTGGGACTTGCAGCTGTCTCTTCTCTGTTACCTTAAAAGAAGGGATTGTGGATCTGCTTGATGTGGACATATTTTGTCACCAGACACAGGGAAATTGAGGCTGGAAAAGCTGATGGCTAGCCTCAAGTGACTCACCTGAGTCTCCTCCACTTGCTCCTGCCCTGATGTTCTTCCCTCCACCCTCCGCAAGCCCCCCAGCCCCAGTGCGTCTGCCTGGCTGGCTGGGAGACTTGTGGCTGGCAGGTCCTGCCTGCATCTTAGGGCCAAGTCAGCAGGATGGTGTCCGTCTGCACATGGTGTCTTAGTTCTTCACATCCATGCAAGCTGTTTGTACCCATCCATGGGCAAGGAGTGCTGGTACCACAGAAAGAGATTTTTCACCCCATGTTGCCTCGGATGAAAAATGGAGGCCCAGACAGGATAAGCCTCCTTCTCCAGAGTCACACATGAATGATGAGTTGAGGGCGGGGACCTCCAGAGTGAGTCCTGGAGTAAGAGGACTCAGCTCTGCATGCTTACCTTGGTCAGCTTAGCTGCTGGCCTCCCTGCTGACTACCAGTGAAGTCATGTCCCAGGCCAGGTTCTGGGACAGGTATAGGGGAATTGGAAGCATCCGAGATTTGGGGTTTTGACGATTTCCTAATGTAGCATCATCAAGGAAGCAGAGCTCAGCTGACTCCAGAAGAGAGTAGAAGGGAGCATGGGAGAGATGCTATTTGTCAGAGGAATGAACCACTGGAGGGAGGTGAGAGATTGAACAGAGGGAAATGGAGATGGATGGCAGGAAGTGGGAGGAAACCCTCATTTGCTGGTTGTCCAAATGTCATTTCCTTGAAACTATTTGACAGCCAATTTCCTCTTGAGATCTCTTCTAGGGAATGGCCTTCTATCACAAAGAGCTTTCTTTCTTCCTTTCTGTTTCTCTTTTCTTTCTTTCTCCCTTTATTCATGCATCCCTCCATTCCTCCTCCCTTTCTTCTTTTTTCTTTCCTACTTTTCTTTTGTTTGTTCTCCCTTTCATTCTTCATTTCTTTCTCTTTCTCTTTTCTTTCTTTTTTCTATTTCTTCTCTCTTCCTTTCTTTCTCCCTTCCTTTTCTCCTTCCTTCCCACCTTTCTTTCTTCCACCTAAGTGGCTCTGTGGCTCTTTAGAAAGTCAACTGGGGGTGGACAGCAGCTACCTTGGAAGCTGGGGCTGCAAAGAAAATGCTGCTTTCTTGTCCCAGTGCTACAGAAAGGGCCAGAATGTAGGACTCCTGGCTGACCAGATTTGGGAGCAGGACGTCAGAGCCAGAGCGTTCCATCTCCCAGCCATGCACCTATGTCCTTTGTACTGCAGCCTGCCCTTTCAGTTATGTCTTCTCCCACTTTCAAGATGAGGGGCAGCATGAAGGTTGGTAAAGCAGCCACCAGGGAAGGATCTTGGACAGAATGTCCTTGTCAATTAAATGGGAACAGCAGCTCCCACCTGCCAGCTTCCTAGGGCTGCTGTGAAGCCTTTGTGTTTGGCAAACTACCGAGAGACAATCTTTGGTACTTTGGAACTATTGATACTTGTTGAGACCACGCCATCCTATGGCTGGGGGAAAGTCAGCTGTCCCCCTTGTCCCAGAGCCACAGAAATACGTGCTGGCTTCAGGACTTGTGCCACCCACAAAGGGCAAGCACTGCTGCAATGCAAGACTGTATCAGCAGCCTGTCCACTTTCCTCTCCTGGAGCTTCCTGCCACAACCAGGCCCAGCACTGTCTCCTGGACCTCAGCAGGACCGATTCTTAGGTTGCTCTCATGAACCCCTCAGAACTGAAAAATCTAACCCAGAAATTGATAAACAATTTATCCACAGTGAATTCTGGCTTCCCAAGTGGCCTCCCTACCCCCTAAAGTCACAACCCCTCAGCTGAGGACCCTTCTAGAATGAAAGTTTCCAACCTTCATCGGAAAAAGAGAATCATGAAAAGGATGATGTGTCAGCTGGTGCCCAAGCATCACAGCAAGCTCACTTCCTATCCTGGCCCTATGTGACTTCAGAGTAAATGAGGCAGAGAATTACCTAGAAACAGGAAGTGAGAACCTACACCATCTGTAGTCATCTGTTAGTACAATAAACGTTTTTAGTGCCTGCTGCATGCCTGGCCTGTGCTTGTCCACACTTTGTTGAATTACATGGCCTCCCTCCTCACAGACTGCCAGGGACACACACATCAAGGGGTATGAGTATGACAATGAAGAAATGTTCCAGTGCCCCAAAGGCCCAAAGTGGTTTGGCTTCAGAAGTCACTTGAAGGAAATCAGAAACCTGAAGTAGAGAAGAGATTGGGAATTAGAAGAAATCAGGTCCTAGATACAGCCAGAGAGATAGACCCCTCTATTCCACTTACGTGATTTAAGGTTGCTCCTTGTCTTGGTTCTCTATGTTGGTTTGCCCAGTGCCAACTGGGAAGTCCAAGGTGATGCTTGGATGCCTGTGTGGAGGCCAGGCTGGGCAGAGATGGGGGAGGCCCAGAGCAGGAGAGTAAGTGGGGAGAGGACACCTTCCTAAGGTTGCCCTGTGTGAAGGGAGGAAAGTCATGGGTGACTCCAAATACAACAAGCAATACTCACTCATTTCTGTGGCTGCCGTGAGCCCCGGGCCGGGGGCCCAGCCCAGCCCAGTCCCGGGTCCTCCAGCCAGAAGACAAGTGCCCTTTCCATTGGCTGCTGCTAGGCACTTCTCCCTGGGGGAAGGAAAAGTCTCACAGCCCTCACAAGTGGAATGTGGCGAGTAAGAGCATTAGCTCTGGAACCCGACTGCTTGGGCTAAAATCCGAGCTCTGCCTCCTGATAACTCCATGACCCTGGGTAGGGTACCTAACCTTTTTGTGCCTCAGTTTTCTCATCTGTAAAATGAAGTTAATAATGGTGCCCTTACTCGGCCAGGCGTGGTGGCTCACGCCTGTAATCCCAGCACTTTGGGAGACCGAGGAGGACAGATCACGAGGTCAAATCGAGACCATCCTGGCTAACACGGTGAAAACCCGTCTCTACCAAAACTACAAAAAACTAGCCAGGCATGGTGGCAGGCGCCTGTAGTCCCAGCTACTCGGGAGGCTGAGGCAGGAGAATGGCCTAAACCCGGGAGGCGGAGCTTACAGTGAGCCGAGATCCGGCCACTGCACTCCAGCCTGGGCGAC